ATTTATACATATATATTACGTTTTTTTGTATAAGAAAGTTATTTACTTACTAAATCAACTGTGTGAATATCAAACACGCAATGTTGATAATATTGTATAATAATAGACAATCAATAATCCGTCCAAGATTTATATAATAATCAAATATTTTATATATCTGTAATAGAATGAATAATAAATCGAAGATTTAAAAAAGATATTAAATATACACAGAATAAAATATATTAATAACAATACACCGAGTTTTTTAAAATAATTCTCTTTACACGCATAATGTCGTGTATCTCGATAATTAACATTTATACTTGAAGAAAATAAAACAATTTAAATAATATACACATTAAATTAAAATGGCACCACCCACAAGCATACATTAACTGTTAAAGCTGCGTGTACTTATTTATCGATGTCACATATTAAACATTTATATTATTATTTGTATGAAAAAATAGAAATACGTCTATGATATAATGTTGCATAAAAAATACATGTCTCACGCGACAATAGATATTAAATATAATATTTATTTTTTGGTGTCGTCACTAGTCAATACGACCACTACAATTACGTTCATTCAATTAGAGCTTCTCAAAGTGTGTCTCGTGACCTCGTACGGCGTCACTTAACTAAATTTAAGAGTCACAAAAATTTGTACAAAACTACAAAATTTTTAGACATGCAACAACCAAAAATTAATTTAAAACCAGCTTGACTATAGTAGTATGTCTGTAAGTTTATGATAGTTTAAGAGAAGATTGTATAAAGTCTAAAATCAGTGTCTTGTAAATATTTGTTCGTGTAAAGGAAATTGCCAAAAGAAAAAGTTTGAGAAGCCCTGCATTAGATTACTATCAAACAGATATGTGACAATAATAGATATCAAACTTCAGTGATTATAATTAAATTTCCTTGATCACCGATTATTCGTAATTTAATTTCCAAAATTTAGCATATTTAAAATTAAATAACATCGAATCACAGTTATTCTCTCTAAATCTTGATTTTTAAAATATTTCAATCAGACTTCTTCATTGTTATCAAGAAATACCCCTTAACTTAATCTAATTCTTCTTATTTAAAAATATTTTTAGTGGACGGTTAATATTATCAGTATGCAAACTATAAAATTTTATTATATAAACAATCTTTTCTACGAATATCGAAGAACATCTATTTCTAAGTAAAAAAGAAAAAGAATTAAACGGAATAAAAACAGGTTGATTAAAAGAATGCACTTTTACTCGAATGATTGCCATTTCGTTATCTGCTGTCCTGGTTTCGCCAGTGCTTGTTTCCATTGTTCGGCGTAAGGCCCACCAACGTCGGGTCCAATCGCAAAATGACCAACTGTCGTTTTTTTACCTAAAACCATTTATTTGTATATTAAAAAAGTCGATTAAGAAAATGTACATTGACACAGATATCAATTTGCATGATACTTGAATAAAAATGTCTTTTGATAATAATAAATAATATTATTAAGGTCAAGCTCATAAAAGTATTAGATATACGTTCGTTCGTAAAGGAAGATTCGTTTAACTAGACGTTATTGCTTAACTCTTAGCTAACTTGATTAATCAATTCGTGCAACAAGTAGAAGAGACAACGTTTCAAGAGATACCGAAGAGCAGAAGTTATATTATTGCAATCAGGATCGTACCCATTTTATTTTTCGAGACGTATTTAATTACGAAGCTGACGTCCTTGAGTGCACCATCATAAGGATTTTCTACTGAGACCCTAGCCATATCGGGTGAAAATTTCATCGAAACGCAAGGACCGAAACGATCGCTTTTCCAAAAATGCGTTATCCTGCCACTCTCGATGACCGACATTTTCAGGTACATTTGTCCTTTCAACATTTCGTGTTCGTGCATCGTTTGTAATGAACATCTCATACGATGGAGACATAATACCAAAATTCCACCCGTTTCTTCCTTTTTGTCCGTTTTTTCCAAGCAAAGGGACAACTCGAGTTTTCCTTTTTTATTTTCTCTCTGAAATAATAATTAAACTTTATTAAGTGAACAAAAATATATAAAAATTTAGAATTACGTGAATGATTGAAAGGAAATAGTTAAAAAAAAGAATCTAACTTTATCTTCGGCACCAGCAATACCACTGCTGATCGGTTTGAGTGGTCTCCACAATTCACCGGTTGATACGTCACTGGCGTGTTTCGGTTTTGGTGGTTTTATCGTAAAGTTTTTTGAATCGAGAGATATCGTAGTAGCACCGACTGTTCGTCTCTTGTCAAAGATTTTCCTTTCGCTTATTTGACTTCCGGAATTTTTCTCTTGTCCTTTATTAAAAAACTGACCAAATATTTTATTCTTGCAACCATCTTGATGATCATTCGATGATCCTTCCTGTCCCTTTTTACCAGTCTTCTTTGCACATTCTTTCGTAGGAGACGAATTTTTCTCCTTATCCGCTTCCTTCTTTTCCGTAGCTATCAAAGGTTTATCTTCGAGAATGGCGTAGAGCGTGACCACGATGAATTTCGAACCATTTATTTCTTCCTCGACGACTTTCGACTGACCAAACTTGATTTTCGTTTCTTTTCGCAAATGAAAAGTGAATTCCTCGTTCCAGCGTGGCCAAGATTCGTTCCTCGTCGTTGTCTCGAATTTTTCTTTACTCGGTATCAGCTTCACCTGAAATTTACATCATTTCATCATTTTTAACAAAAGTAAAAATAAAATATTCTTTTCGAATTTTCAATTGGTGTCCTTGAATAGAATACAATAGCTTAGATAAGTGAAATTATAACAAGAAATCTACATATTTAGTTATGTCGAAGAAATACGGAAGATCGAAATTACAATCTTCTTTTTATCGAACAAAACACACGATCCATGTCCTTGCTCTTGTATCGTTACGTAATATAATGGGTAACATAAATTCTTTCATGATTCACCTTAACGACGTAACTGTTGACTCTGGTGAAACCAAAATTTTGCGGTAGATGTCTAGCACCAATGACGGTTACGCAGAGAGTTTTTTCGTTCGGCGAGTGGACAATTCTGATGCCTACTTCCGGTTCTAAATTAACGGTACGATCCAAAGGCGTCGAGACATTTTTTAAACCATTGTCGATGAAATTTTTGAGTTTTGTCAAGGCCATATTGTTTCTCTTCTAAGGTATTCGTTCTAACGAATTATTTTTTAAATCGTTGATTAACTCTTATCGATTCTCGACGATTGCTCGTTCAGATAACAGAAATCGACTACCAAAAGTAGACGTCCGGTATTGTTCTCTGAAAAATATCGTTCTTACTGTTAGATGATCATTACGAATACGGTGGTACGTAGAACGAATAAAAATATTGATGTGTTTTTGCTTGATGTAAAGAATATCAATATCTTGACATATGTGTGACATTATAGTTCGTGGTCTTTTTATACTTGTTATAAATTTTTACGATCACGTTGGTAACTGGTTGTGAATTTTGTTTCACGCAAGATTAAACAATAATTCTTCGGAACGTTTTAATCTAACTACTATCAGTTTGGGTGATCTTGGTGTTTATCAGAGTATTCAATATACGTAAGCATAAATGTTTAATTAATGAACAAAAAAAAGGAATCGTGTTTCTATGTCCGATTAAAGAAATCGATATCGATTGATACACGTGTATACGTTAAATTATTAAACTCATTCGTTTTACGGATCGATAAACACATATCTGCTGTCAAATAAAAATAGATCCCGAGAATTGTTATTTGTTATATCTTAAAACGCATTACATATGACAGTCTATGATAAATTCATGTAACACTAATTACTGTGAGAATGAGTTTTAGCCTACGAATATATTGACACTAAAGCAATAGCAACAATAACAATAAAGACGACAGCAACGATTTAAGATACGTCATTGAGAGATTCTTAATGATCTGTCTAACTTTCTCTCAAGACAAGAAAAATAAAAATGTTTTACCCTAGCAACCGTACACCTGTTTCGATTTGTATCTCACGCTTCAGGTATATACCTAATACAGGTATCGATCGGGAAAGGTTCTACGAGTTTAGACAAAAAATGACTAACACGCATTTTCTCGTTGAGGCAGGATTACCAAAGATTATTACAATATTAATTGTAGATACCAATATCTTATCCACGATCTTCGTTGATTCCGAGCGTTGTTGTACACGTACCATTTATTACTCAATGGGTTGTTCGAAATGCTGCGTATTTATTTCGTTCCTGAAGTATATTAGTGAGATAAGGAAAAAACTGTCCGGTATTAGTTCTAAGATCTCGCACATGTAAAGATTATAAGCATGATATTCAAGGTCATTAGAGGACAGTCGCCATGGCAATTTTCTGACCACCTGATGCAGTAGCAGTAACAATGTCAGCAACGTATTTCAATGATCTTATTTCACCGAACACTGTGATCCGATTTACGAACGATCGTTCGCATTTCTAAGCTACGCTCAAGATCGTTAAACATCGTGGCTACTAGTTCGATTGCTTTCCTTCTAACTGACTGGATGACTGACTGACTAGCATACAAGTCCGATAAACACAACACACTTCACACAACACTTTCCAAGAAGAATTTTGTTAACAAATACACCAAAGATAACAAATATGACGAAGCCTTAAACGTACGCGTGGACCGAATTGAAAACAATTATGTGTTTTACTGGCCACGTTCGGGAAAGACGCGCCACCGTGGTATGCGGCCTCAGTTGACGCGTGGGTTCCCTTTATAAGAGGCTTACTGGGTACACAGTGACGGATAAAATTAAGGTTCTTATATCAGGCCCAAAATCGAACCTTGTTTGATTAAGTTTGTACACACAAAAAATTAGACAAAATTTTATTTACACATATTTTTATAATTAATTGCTAAGAACAGTCTTGTTGTATAATGCATTTTTTATTAATTTTATATTTAATTGTTATATAATAATGTATACTCTATAATACATCTCAAGTACACTATTCTTTTTATCTTATCTCTATAATTTTTTAATAAATCATTAATAAACTTGTTATTCTCTATATAAACAGTTATAAACATGGTGCTCATAATTCGAAATACATACCTAATACATACGTCGGTTACGATCAAAAGTGGTGGGAGAAAACCGCCTATACCGCACGTTGTACGATCATTATAAAGTTCGTTTGTGTGTGATGCCGCCTGTTGCGTCCATACAAGTTGGAGTATATCGTGTAAACGCGAAACTCACACTACCACGTATATCCGAGGAACTACGCTACGTGAATGAGAGTGTGTCATCGTTCTCAGGACTGTATCATTTAGAAATTGAACCTGCGTCGTTAGAAATAACGTAGAGAGAGTAAAACAATAATAAATAAATTAAATATTTTGATCGCATTTCTACGCATATCTTCATAATGATCAAGCAAAGATCCAGATGCGGAGAAGATCGAAAGATTCACGCGGTAAGAATTTTATCATAATGTTTAATGATTTTGTTCGAGCAACAGAAAGGAATGCAGTACGGTGAGTCGTGTTGCATGGTTAATGAATAGCAACAGCTTCATTTAAATATCAAATGAACATATGTTATGTTTTTTTTTTTAATTTTTTCTCTTCTTATTTGAAGGTGCTACTGGATGAAGATCTATCGCGACACATAAACACACATACAATGTAATTGAAATTTACAAACATTTTTATCTAACTTGAAAATGTTTAAAATCAAACACGTCAATTAGAGTTTTATGCTTATCAAACTATATCAATTTAACGTGAGATACAAAAAGATGCTACTGACAGGATTGATCGACCTTCGAGTTTGAAATATATATACTTGTCTTTCTCATATCGTGCTTTATAACTGTCAAGGAAATATATCTATGAGGATAAATGTAAAAAAATTTCGTTTATCGAAATATTTTCTTCGCGACTTAAATGTGATGAGTATCGTCGTTTTATGATGTCACACTTATTATAAATAATTGCAGTGTGCTCGTGCTTCATCAGCCATTAGATAATACGTACCCACAATTTCCTTTATGATGAAAAATTCTCACAGCCTTCATGGTCTATGTCTTTTAAATTATGGCAGCTTGCTTATTAGAAATAAAAAAGATTACATCTAATGTTATTATATACACATATACACATACACGTAAATTGTTTTATCATAAAAATGCGAGGTTCTTTAATATAATTTTCCAACTTACCTCTAAAAACTTTTTTACCTTCCAAGAAAATGTTAACTCGGTTTACTCGGTTTACTCGTGTGTTCTATAATTTCAGTTTAGTACGAACCACAAAGAAGCTGTGCTAGCAACGTTTGCTACGTTACTTAGATGCGAGGGTTATCGTCTCTACTATGTTTACGCATTGGCTTACTTAGTTGCACGTACGCTATACGTTTGTATAACCCGAGAATGTATGTACATACGTGTTCACGTTGAATGCAAATTCTTGTCGATATTGGTGCCGGCTTATCTTGGTTTATGTTCTGGATTTTCTCTTTGTGTCTAGAGTTCGAATTACCTTACCAAGTGCAATTTTTTCGGTTAACGTACGCTGATCCAACGGGCTTTTATATGAATTATTGTTCCCTATAAATGATATCATCCCCTGCGTATTTGTATTGTTTCTCTTTTTGTATTTTTTAATCTCTTATTTATGTAAAAACTGACAAAAATAATTACAAAATATCATTGACGTTGAAAAAATTTCGATTCGATTTTAATCATTCGTTTGTACAACTAACGTAAATAAAAAAGTAAAATTCAAATAATCGTCGGGATAAAATGAAATCTAAAAATTCGAAATATGCGCCACAGGGGGTGCGAGATATCGAATAAAATTTAATCGATTGAAAGATGGCGCGTCTTACTGTCGATATTTTCACCCACGCCGTATTTCTCTGTCTCTATCTTTCTAATTACAACAACCTCTAGTCACGTTTCCTCCCGCCTTTGGATCAGCTGTTCGGCAACCGCCATGGCGCACGCGATGTCAAAACGTCGGAAACGTTCTCTTATTTCGCGAGTTTTACCCTTCGAAAGGATATTCTCGTGAGTTTCGATTATGTAAATACGCGTATTACAAATGTTCATTCGTCCTACGTATTCGTGTATTATGCTTTCGCAAAAAGTATTATTCCATTTTTCATATATGTGATTGACGTCGTGAATGTGATTTCATTCGAGGGTTGCTCCGTTTGCAGATTTTTTTCAACCTCGCAGGGGTGAGTCGATCGATTCGAATAATATTTTCTATCTTTTTTTTTCTTTTTTTCTTTTTCTTTTTCTTTTTCTTTTTCTTTTTCTTCTTCTTTTTCTTTTTCTCTGTTTCTTTTTCGTACTTCCTCGAATGTGATTTTACTGATTTTCTTTCTGACAAAAATATCCGAGCCTTTCCATAGCACTTACTTTGATCCTTTGTTTACAAACTAACTTAACTTAACCGAGAAGAAAGGCGCGGAATAATAAGATCCAATAAAGAGAATATTTTTATGTTGACATGCTCGCAGCTATGTTAACACAGACACGACCGTACAAAAGTTACAAGATATATGATACAAGCGTAAGTTTTATGATAGTTCTTAGTCAACAAGATGATTATTATGTACAATTAATGAATTCTTCGACGTTGTCTTTTACCATTCGTTAGAAAATTTATGTAAAAATTCTTCTCCTTTGGATTTTCCTTTGTCAGAATTCGTTTTAAATCTCATTCATCTGTGATATATAATCGTGCGTTGCAACTAGTTAACAAAAAAGAAATTATTCTAACCTACAATAACTTAAATGAGATCTACATGATCCTTGCAAAACTACCCCTAGAAATTTAGAATGAAAATCGCGAGATGGCACCACGTATTCTCAACCCTGACAAAATCCAATGTAAACGTTCTCTTTATTTTTATTTTTCTATAAATAGCATGCATGCAAAAGAAAAATAAAAACATGCTTAGGAAAGGTTGGATACGCTTTTAATATTTATAAATTAAAATTACCTTTTTGAGAGAGGTAGATAGTAAGAGGGAGAGAAAAAGAGACGCAAATTTGCCGCAAGCCGATGTGTGACGTTATAACCGTCTCTTTAAATCTATAGCCTGTCATACGTTTAGCAATGCAGATAGAAACGATCGATCTTTTTTAATCGAAAAATCCCTTTTCGCCTTCCGAACTACCTGACGTCGTGAGAGAGCTCTTCCGACATCGATCAACACGACGCTAAACGCATTTATAAGATGCATGCCTCTTGCAAACGTGTCGCGCTTTAATGGAACGGCAAGCCAACTCATTTGCGTATCTCTATTTTCTCTTTAAGCTTTAGGAGACGATTTTATCGCTGGCTAATTAATTACAAGAATACTCAAAACAAATAATACAATGGAAAATGCACAGACAAAGAATTATTATAAAATATATTACAAAATAGAAGAGAATTAAATTGTACAAGAATTACGGACACTTGAGTAAAATGAAATAGAAAAATAATTACGATCAATTCTATATTTATTTGATCAATATTTTATAAAAGTAAATGGTTAAACTTTTTAGTACTGACCGAAACAATTGTATTTAAACTAAATATATTAACTCAAGTTGATATAATTTAGTTAGAGTTTAAGAAAACAGGTATAAAAATAAAAGTAACTATGATATCGACAAAATTAAAAAAAAAAATCTAAAGTGGTTGATATTTTACTTATAAATTTGTATAATAATTATAGTAGAAGCAAAATTGTATTAGCATTACGTCGTACATAAGTAAATAAATATTTTGTAAAATATACAAATCATTTCATTAAAATATCGATCAAATTATCTTTAAAAATACCAATCTAATAAATATCAGGCAATTACAATTTCGTAAAATTATTTCTGGCAATTGGCCTATCCAAAGTTTATCATAAATTTGCAAGAAAGGGGCGTCTTTACTTATTCGGATATAAAGTAAAGCTTTTTGCGGAAATGCAACGCGACGACAAGTCGGTCTCGGCAAGGTGCCAAAGAAGTGAGTAGCGGATGCAAGTCGACTGAATCTATCACAGGAATGTTTCCTTCGTTTCTCGCTATATTACATTAGATTGTATGCTACTTGTCCTCGAACTTTGCGTTTTATCTTTCAAGTAGGTATTGTAAGAATTTAATGTTAAAATACAAAAAAAAAATAAATATACCTATACATAAAATTTAGATGAACGATCCCCGTCTTTCCCATGGTCTCGATCGATCCATTCAAGTTTAATTTCGTTTCATACTTTTTTAACGAGATCATGGTCGTTCTTCTTTCTCACTTGATCATTAAGAGAGACTCTTCTCGTTTCAACGATTCATTGATCTCTCTTTCTCTTCACAATGCGTGAAAAGAAAAGAAAAGTAAAGAAAAAGGAAAAGGAACGAAGCTTGAATTTCGAACGTTCCTTCAACTCCACCCTTCTTCTTTTATTTCCTCCTCGGCATCGTTTTCTTGATTTAATGAACGCGAAGTCCATTCTACTCTTCGACCCTCCAAAAAGTCTCCGCGAATCTTCTTTTTAACTCTCCGCCTCTTTCTCTCTCTCTCTCTCTTTCTTTCTCACGTTTTATTATAAACTCCTTTGTATAGTGCAATTTAAAAGTTTACCATCTGGTTCACCTTACCAAGGGAAAAAACTTTTTTCTATGTAGTATTAAAGTTCGAACTTGCTGGGAAGAAATCTATGAACAGGAGCGTGAATTTTAACAAAGTGTCTTGAATAATATACATATACACTTACGTGAAAAATGTATTTTATATATACGTAGCTCGAATACGAAGATAGAATCTATCCGATAATCCAAAAAACGTATTTTCGTTATTTGACTCTGTGGTTCGGAGATGTATGCTGTTCCAAGGATCGTTGCACTCTTGATTCATTTCAAGTGTCTTTGAGCATCGCAACCTTTTAAGTGCATCATTAACCATTCCCTTTTGTATCAAGAGATCAACGCCATACAGAATTTGCACGCGCGTCTTTTCGCATCGTAAAGCTGGTCCGATTAACATTTCAAGAGTACCCAGCAAATCGTACGTACATTCCATTCAACGTGTGAAAAGTCATGTTTTCGTAATTTCTTCTTCTTCTTTTTTTCTCTCCCTTCTTTTCATTATTCACTTTTACGCCTTGTCACGTCGATGCCAAACTGCTATTTCTTTTGGTTTTTTTTTCCTGTAATATTTTCAATCCTTTAGTTCACGTATATTTAAATATTATTTTGTTTTCCTTTCCGTAGTTTTATTTTTTAAATTCGATCTATCGAGATTTTGTATTTTTAGGAACATTCAAAAGCATCGTTTAATAACACATTTCGAATTTATATTTATAAATCTGGACGAAATTTTTGAACAATCCGTTATTTATTTAAACATCTTTATCTCTTTTCTACATTTTTCGCGAGAAACTAAAATTGTCCATGAAAGAATCGACCGTAAGGGAAATAAAGTGCGATTAGAAGTAAACGTTGGGTAAGGTGTTCGCACTTTTAACGTATCCACCCACTCACTGTCAATATTACTCCTACATCTAACAAGTTTCTTTCCTCGTTGCCGCACCACTTCGTCCTAGTTTTCGTAAAAGTTCTTCGCTTGAAAGGGAAAGAGGCCGCGTCGTTTTAGAAACGGCAAATGAAAGGTATTGTCTTTGGGTGTGAACGAAGTAGAATGAGAGAGAGAGAGAGAGAGAGAGAGAGAGAGAGAGAGAGAGAGAATGAGACGGAGAGTAAAAATAAATTCTTGAACATTTCTAACTCGTCCTTGGGCGATCCTTCCATTGACGGACACGAACGATTCACGGAAAAAAAAGAATTTATGATTCATGTTCCAACCTTTTCAATTAATCGATGACATGTGTTCCTTTTTTACACAAATGTTTGATTATACGTCGATGCATCCTACGCATCTTAATATTCGATATCAGTGACGCTGATTAATGATAATTAGGATAAAGGAATGACCGATTCGTAATGAACGATTTAACGTTTCTCTATCTCTCTCTTTCTATAGAACTCGGCCATCAATCGTTGAGGCCGTTGCGCAGACAGAAATTTCATTTATCGAGAAAGTTTAAATCAAACCGCCATTACTCACAAGCTGGCAACTGCGAGCTCGCATTCCGATTCACCAAAAGGCAATTGAAATTCGTTTCGTCACTGACTTTTCCGTGGCGCTCCATGCCAATTTTTTTGCCCACCCTCTATCTCTCCTCTCTCTTTATCTATCTATCTATCTATCTATCTATCAATTTGTATATACATCTTCGTCAGTTTTACAATTTACCTGGATGATCGGCCATTCGAATGTTCAGATCTTTACATTTGTTAACGCTATATGAAAAAAAGAAAATAAAAAGATATATCAAAGTTTTCACGATAGTAAAGAGTAATAGATTGTTATTAAAAGATCGAAAGACATCTATTCGGATTTGGAAACAATGAATGTTCGAAGGTGCCATCAATTTTCCGGTGTAGTTTAGATCCCGGTTAAATGTAAGATCGGGTGGGAAGAAGAAAAGCAAGCAAGCAAGCAAGCATCTCGAGGGTGTGTCTTTCGCGAAAGGTTTTCGGCACCAACAGAGTTTCCCCATAATTTCGCGTATTTTACGCGTTAGAAGTCTCGACAATGGCCACCAAGATTAACAGCTTTGTTCTGCCGAATTCATTACCGAATTTAAGGGGAACAATGAACGTGTAAATCTTCGGGAGTCTCGCGTGACCGCACGTGTTCTCTTCTACCCTCGCGTTTATATCTTGTTCGGTGGCTGATGCAGTGTCGGAAAGGGGGTTGCTATGCGTGAATTTATATACACGCATAAACAAACACACACGCACACGCACGCACACATGCGCAGTCAATCAATCGTTTTACTATCCTAGACATCATCGTTGACATCGTAGTCGTCGTCATTGTTGTCTAGGATTCGATCAAAAGCAATTTTCTTCAATTCGAATGATGCCGTTCTACAGGGTTTACGATTTTTTCATCCATTTTGGCAGGAACGGAAACGTCCGCGGTGGTACATCGTCTAGCTTCCGGTACTATCGTTCTGTGATTTATTCAACGAACCGCTTGTCGATATTTATCGTCCCAGCCGTTTCGCAGGTACGAAACACTCGAGCAGATAAATCATATTATCGTGGACAAGTGGTGGCCAGTACGTGGCTATCTGCGCCGATGCCAAAATCATGAGAGCAAGTACTAGAGAGAGAGAAAGTGAGA